CCATTCAGCCACGAGTTACAGTTTTCTTACAGAGGAATTAGAAATGAGTGCATCAAAATATATTGACCCTGAAAAACTACAAGTATCCATGAAGTATTCCCGTATGCAAATGGAAAGCCATGTGAAATTATTCATGGCAGTCAACATGTTATTTACCAAGGAGTATTTATACAATATCATTTCAAAGTTTGAAGTGTGTCTAAATGCCATTCCTTTAGCATGAAATTGCCCAGGTACCCTGAACATCAATGAATAGCAATTTATGTCAACAGTCTAAACATTTTATATTTCTACAGGTGGTAATAACTTTCTAACCAATAGGTATAAATATATGCAATATCACACCTGTCTAGTTTTATTTTTTCAGCAAATAGCCATTGAACATTTTGGTTTTCTGACTTTTTATGAGTATGTTGAACTCTTGTAGGAATCTGACTTGTTTCTACGGTTCAATTATCATGCTTTCAGATTAATTAAAGCATGCAGTACATTTTCAGTTCTGGTTCTGGTTTCCAGTCACACATTCCTCCATTCATGTGAACTCTTATAAGTAAATCCCCCATTAAAAAAAAGGCATTAAGTGGGAATGTCATCCATGAATTCCAATTCACCATCAGTAACTTTGATCACAGCAATCTGATCACAATTAGATTCATCACAGGATTTGTATTATGCCAGCAGTTGATCTACATAACTACTGCTGTTGAAAGACTGCATCATGTGCTTAGCCTTAGATATCAATACACCTACAATGTAACTGCAGTAATCAGAGATGTTGTTTACCTGCGAGAGTTGACTTCCTGGCTGTGAAGCAGCGAGCAACTGAGATGCTTTCAGAGCAGGAAGTTTATTGGCACCATGGACTCTCCTTAATGGTCGCCTTGTCTCCTTACACTCCACATCTTTAATATGACATCTGCTCCAATCAATGAGGTACATGTATGTTATTTCGGACTGGATGAAATCTTACAAGGCAACTGAAGTTCATATGTAAATATACTCATTTATGTAACATTGCATCTCTAGCAGAATTTTGATGCCTCTTTTGGTCATCTCAGTTTGGATGATTCTGTTGAAGTATCTTCAGGTTGATTTGAAATGCACATCGGTATAATGATGCTTTGTTGGTGGCCTGTTTGACTTATCTTTAATGTACAATTCCTTCTATCTTACCTGAGAGAGACACAACCCTGTATCCATAGGAGCCGTCTTGCCTCAAGGTTGGCACCTAGGGCTAGGTTTGTGTTGCTTTTTTGGTGATGGAGGTCCTCTACTGATTTCACCTTCTCTAGAATTGCTTGCCCAGCATTACACTGAGCATCACTGTCTAACACAGCTCCTTTCCTATCTGGATACACATCAATAGTTTCTGAAAGGACCTGTAGAGTTGAACCTTTCAAGATTGTAGCTGCAGCCTCTTTCTTGGTGATACATTCTCTCACTGAGTCACCTGATATTAACTTAGGACTCCCTCTATCTGCTTCCTGAGAAGAGGTACTGTTATGATTTTGCAGCTGAACATCCATAGCTGGATTGGCTGGCAAGGATGTATCCAAGGTCTTGTCTGGCATGATTTGGTTGGATGTTTGTATAGAAGTATTTGCAGGTTGTCCTTCAATTAGGTCAGTATCAGTGTACTTGTGCTTTAGTGTCTGACTTTCCTGTGTTTTGGTTAAAAATACTTCCACAGATTCATATGTTGGCCCATCATGCACATCTACATGATCCACTCTCTCATTATCTGTCAGTTTTTCATCAGTAACTTTAGAAGTTGAGTTTGTCTCATTTTTAATTTTGGACAAAATTTCCTGTGTTCTTTCTTCTACTTCTCTTTCTTTCTTCAACTGTTCTTCATGCTGGTGTTTTTCTTCCTCTCTTTTCTGTTTTTCCAACATCTCTATTCTTTTCCGTTCTTGGTCTATCCTTTCCTTTTCCAGTCTCTCTTGCTTCTGTCTTTCTTCTAATTCTCTTCTACGTATTTCCTCTTTTCTCCTCCTTTTGACACAACAGAAGTAAACAAACTCAAAGAACATATGAAAAAACTAACTTACACACTTACACTAACAAGAAGGATATGTGTAATGAACCTTTTGGTGTAACTGTGTATTTCCCTGTAATAAGTTTTTCCCTGTAAATTTTTATGGTTAGTTGACTGTAGCCTGCTCCTGCAATGGACAAACAATATGGCCTACACTAATACTGATACAAGTTTAGTACAAAGCTGAACTATGAGTAATAAAAAATATGCAGTTTAACCTTAACAATCCAAAACCAGCCAAATTCCAACACCACGGTTGTTGGAATCTGTCAGGATGAGTACTGCACTCTTGTACTGGCTTTGGTACCGGTATGTGGGATTAGGCACACCACAAATAAACAGAGTCCACCTGTTTATGTGCACAGTTTGCGATGTACATGTAGCATTGAGTTTTGCAGGGATGTACTGTACATGTAGGTTACTAGTAAACACCCTACAGTATTAATTAACCCCTTCCTGCCAGGGCAGTTATCAATGTTGACGATGCTGGGCTGGGATATTTATCATTTTTTCAGTTTTCAAAATTCTTTGAAAATTCCTATCTTTATTTACTGGACACTTACAAATGTGTGAAGGACTGTCCGTTGTCCACTTTAGCCTGACAGATAAAATCTATTGACGCCTGAGTATTTCAGGCAGGCCTGCAGCCTTGTAAAAAGAGCCAGATTGTGCAGTGTTATATAACTTTCTTTTGTTAACGAACGTGGCTCTGTGTGCTGCTGACCTCATTTCAACAGGGGCCAGATTAGCATGCAGCCGCTTGCAGCGGTGCTGTGTGGCTCATTGCTGTAGTGGTGGAGTGCTTTTTACAAGGCAGGTAGCAGACCTGGCTGAAATACTCGGGCATCAATAGATGTCGTCTGTCAGATTAGAGTAGCCACCAGGTGGGTGTAAACATCCAGTAAATGAAGTTATGAAGTTTTAAAGAATTTTGAAAACAAAAAACAAAGCAAAATTACCCGGCCCAGCAGAATCAACATGGATAAATGGGCCTGGCACAAAGTGGTTAAGCACTGACTCAGACTCATCCAAGTATTCATTTGACCCAAAGGCAAGTCATGGAACTGCCAAACTTGGAAATGAACACACACTGAAGAAAAAGCAAGAATTTATTCATTTTTAATTTTTTTGATTTTTGATTTTCTTTTGTAATGGAAATGTCGGCTCAAATCCTCAGACAGAAACATTCATGAGGCAGGCCAGGAGACATTTGAATAGGTTTCAGCCAGAAACGTGTGCATCAGCAACTGGACATCACTGTAAGAAATGACTGCTATAACAAACATTTTCCATGAACCCTGTAATGTTCATTATGGCAGGCTTGTACTAAGCTGACTTCCAGCAAACATACTTGTAAAGTGTAGTAAGCCCTTGTGTGCTTAGATAGTAATGTAATCAGACACTTAAGTTTGAATCCAGCACCAGAAATATTTGGCCAATGTTATGCATTCCGACTGTTGGAATCAAC